ACCAGAACTGACAGATGGAGTGTCCAGTTAATGTAAAATTTTGAAGTACAGCGTCTTTTACAGTGCAGACCTTAAGTTTCAGTCAAGATTATTAGCTCAGATTTTGTGTGATGGGCTTAAACCAAAGGTTCAGAGACAAGCTGGTGCACTATTTGGGGTCATGAATTTAACCGATTTCTGGTTGTAAGTAACCTTTCACCATTTGCTTTCTGATAAATTGGGCAGTAGTAATTTTTGAACCATTCCTATTTTCTTGTGGTTTTTAATGCTTAGAAGAAAATACTGTGTACTCTTGAGCACAATGTTGGTGTTATGGTATTTTCGACCCTCTCAAAAACAAATGTTCAGGGCAGATTTAAAATCGACAAAGCAGCCATAGATGACAGGGAAAAAAATTGTAGTAAGTTACGATCTGGAAGGCACTACCTCAAAGGGGAATAAATGGAGGAGTCAATTCAATAGTAATTTTCAAAAGAAAATGAAGGAAACAGCAGGGAGTGGGATTAGTTAGATAATTCCAAGTTTACTGCATGAGCATTGTGGATCCAATGCCTTTTGTGTTATATAATCATGATTCCATAAAACTGAGGAGTTACTGATGGTGTTTTGGTTCCATCAGGGATTTCATCGAACAGCACTATGTGGCATTGAAGAAAGCAAATCCAGAATTCCCTATTCTAATCCGAGAATGTGCTGGTGTACAGTCTAAAGCGTGGGCTCGATATGGTAAGGAACCAAGAACCAAGAATTCAGGGAGTGAAAAGATGTGACTACTTTTCTGTACCTGAGTTTAAGTCTACCCCAGCCTGAGGGGTAGTGAAATTAATCAGAGCCCTTTCAAAGAGCTAGTACAGATATGATGGGCCAAAATATCACCACTATAGGCTTTTGTAAATAATTTCTCCCGACTGTCCAGTCCAACTTATAGGTTTGGGTACAGTTAATCTAGCCTGAAGTAGATCCTGAGTCATCCAGCATTGGCCAAGTGTTCATCTTGGAGACCACAGGATGGCTGATGTGGGAGAGAAAATATTCTATATGATGGATAGGTTTGAGGTTGGGGAGAATAATTTGTTGAAGCGGGTGTGAAGGTTACTGTATTCTATCCTTATGCATAGTGAATATATTACAACTTGCAGTTGCCAAAGTGTTCGATTCCCTAACCATAACGACCCTGACCTTAATATTTCTGCTGCTTGTATATTATAATTCACACCATTACTATCACCTTATCTTCAACGTTATTCCAAAATTACTAAATAATTAAAGAGGCAAAGTGAGGAAAGGAAATAACTGCAGAAAAAGTGCTAGGGCAATTAATGGGCCTAAAGACTAAGTCCACTGGACCTGATGAGATGCATCCTAGGACATTAAAGGAGGTAGCTACAGAGATATTGGATGCTCTAGTAGTCATCTTCCAAGAATTACATTCAGGAAAGTCCCTGAGAATTAAACATCCTTTAAAGGAAGGAGGCAAAAATGGTACCTATAGAGCAGTTAGCTTAACATGTATCTGGGAAAACTTTATCTATTTCTAAATGCTCTATTATATCCTTTATAATAGACTAATGTGATCAAAGAGTCAGTATGGTTTCATGAAGGAGAAATAATGCCTGACAAATTTATTAGAATTCGTTGAAAAGGTAACAAGCAGGATAGATAAAAGGAGTAGTACTGAATATAATATTTGCATTTTCAGAAGGTGTTTGACAAGGTACCACGTGAGGCTACTTACTAAGAGCCCATGGTGCTGGAGATAGCCAACTGTCTATCCATGCTAATACACTAACTAATGCAAGACAGTGTTGGGATAAGGGCATCTTCAGGATGGCAGCCTGTAACTAGGGGAAGTGCCACAGGGATTATTGCTGGAGCCATAATTATTGATAATGTGTGTTCATGACAAGGATGAGGAAAGTGAACGTACTGTAGCCAAATTTGCAGATGACATACAATTAGGTGAGAAGGCAACTGGTGAATCTGACAATCTGCAGAGCAATATTGACAAGTTAAATGAGTGGGCAAAAACTTGACAAATGAAATAAAATGTGGGAAAATATGAAGTTATGCACTTTGGCAGGAAGAATTGAAGAGCTGAACATTCTTTAAATGGAGAAAGACTGCAGAAAGCTCTAGCAGAGAGGGGGTTGGGAGTCCTTGTGTATGAATCACAAAAAGCAAGCAGCCAGGTTCAGTGGGTAATAGGGAAAGCAAGTGGAATGGTGGCCTTTATTTTGTAAGGGAATAGATTATAAAAGTAGCGAGGATTGCTAAAACTATACAAGGCAGTCGGTAGAACAGCTGGAATACTGAACAATTTTGGGCCCATTTCTAAGGAAAGATATACTGGCATTGGAGGCAGTTCAGAAAAGGTGCAGGGGATGGAGAAATGGAGTCCGATCATCCTGTGCTCATTGGAATTTAGAAAATGAGAAGCAACCTTATTGACACATACGAAGTTCTTAGAGGCTTGATCAAGGAGATACAGAGGTTGGTTCCCCTTGTGATAGAGTCTAGGACTGGGAGGCATAACCTCAGAATAAGGGGTCACCTATTTAAAATAGAAGTGGGGAGGAATTTCTTCTGTGAGTAGTGAATCTGTGGAGTTCTTTACTATAGAGTTCTTTACTGCTGCTGAGGCTGGGTCACTAAGTATATTTAAGGCTGAGATATTTAATATACTGAGATATAGTTAATCAAGGGTTTCGGGGAAAGGCAGGAAAGTGGAGTGAGGGTTATCAAATGAGCCATGACATCATTGAATGGGGGAAGCAGACCTAATGGGCTGAATGGCTTACTCCTGATCTTGCATTTTTTGCCTGCTGCTATGTTTGAAGCAAAGATGCTATTTAAAACTACATCAGCTGTATAGCAGAGTGGGACATTGAGGTCATGAAAAGTGCTTTAAAAATATAAATTCTTGTTCCCCAATTGCCACTTTCTGCTGCTTCAAAATAATAAACAGGGGAAAACATCCTACACATATAAGCTGAATCAAAAGTTGTAGTGTTATTGCTATTTCCCCCAAGTACAATGCTTTACTGAAACTGCTTGACTGAACACAAATTCTGCAATAAATGAGATAATGGCATTGAGATGCTTCTGATGCCTGTTTCCTTTATTTGTCTCCCATTTCAGAGTTTGGAAGAGAGAGAAATGTACCATTGGATAATTTAAACTCTGAGCAGGTGGCAAAGGCACTGGAGTCTCTGATTACCAAGCCATGAATTGTGGAGCAATCAGACTGTGAAGGAAAAACTTAATAAAAAAGTGGCACGGGAATGTTTCTGTTCCACCGCTTTGCCTGGTTTCCCAGCGGAAAGATTATAAAACTGTAAAATTAATCTAAATTAAAATGCATTTGAGTCCTGTGTGCTGTTTCTCTGGTTGTATTCCAAATGCCACTGGCTGTAACAACATGTTCATGAGTGGGCAGAAGCTAGATAAAATATTAAACTTGTCCCCACTGGCCTGGCAACATACACCGTAAATACTTTCTTTACTGTGGTTTTCCATTATTGGTGCCAGCTATAAACAAATGTGTGCTGAGAGTTGTATTGGGATTTCTCAACCTCATTTGATGAGTTTTCAGAAATCTTCAACCCAGTTGCCTGAAGGGTATTGAAACTTAGGTTTTTAAGATGCAAAAGACGTTAAATTGATTATTACATACTTCCAAGTGTGGAAGTTGAGTCCGACGCAGAGACTTAACTCTTCTGCACAATTCATGTTCTGAAAGCTGCCATATCTGTTTGCCGCCATCTTTTTAACAGCCTTTTTTTTTTTTAGCTGGATTTGATTAGTCTTCAGAGGTTAACAGTGCAGCCTGTTAATCTTGCCTGGAGGAGCATCACCCTGTACCTATCCATCCAGCAGTGATGGGTTGAATGGCAACCTGTGCTATAAACCTTAGTTATAAAAATCCATATCTTTTCCATTACCATTGAGCATATCATCATGTGACAGCATAGGTATTGTCAAAACCCAATTCTCTATCATCCTATCTTATACTAATTCGAACATTCAAAATTCTGCTGCTCATGTTCTACTCTGAACTTCCCCAGCTTTCTGTCCTTGGGCTATGAGCTGCAGGCATACTTAACTGCAAAATCCATTCAAGGCTTTCTTCAATCCTCCATGGAATCTGGTCTCCCTAGGCGCACCCCAGCTGCTATACTCCCAAACTTGAATTCATTCAAATCTTGATTGCTCACAATCCCTGTGCTAGAATCATTCCTGGCCTGGGAACTACATATTTAATTACAGCTTGTTTGGGTTTTCAAATTCCTCCAGAGCTCAGTCCTCCCTGTATTGTAACCTTCTTCATAACTCTCAGATCTCCGCATTCCTCCAACTTTGGCCTCCTGTCCATTCCCGATTTTTCTGTCTCTTCCCAACTTGCAGTTGCACCTTCAGTTGCTTGAGTTGTTGGTTCTGGAAACCCAAGCATGTAATCAAGACAGACGGTCCAGTGCAGTGTGGAGGGACTGCTGTCTTTCAGAAGAACATTATACCAAGGTGCAGGACATAAAAGACCCCATGTATTTTGCCCAAAGAAAAACAGAAGTTCTCTCCAGTAACTAGGACAATATTTACCCTTCAAGCAACACAAAACATATCAAAAATATTCTGCTAAAATTCTTGCTGGTATGTTGGCTGCTGTTTTCCTAAATTACAACAGTGACTACACTTCAAAAATAATGCATTGAATGTAATTTGGTTTTGAATATCCTGAGGTTGTCAAAGACATTATGGTATACAAATTGACAACCTTTGATTTCTGATTCCTCCCCTCCTCCCCTCCTCTTCCCCCCCCCAAATTCATTATGTCTGCATTTTAGTGCCCAGGGACATTTGGTTCTGTGAAAATTACTAGATTAAACGTGAACTCCTGTCAGAGCTGAACAATGAAAATGTTTAAACAACACTGGCCAAAAGGGATACAAACAAAGTAATGGATTCACAAACTTTCTCACAAAAAAACATCATGACATCTTGAATAAAAACACTTGCAAACAAACACTTACTTTATTAAAATTACAAACCATGGTAGGTTCCTAAACACTTAATATTTTACAGTGATGTCCTAAAATCACAAATGGTCTTTGTCACTTTTTGTTTTTAAAAGTATTTTATCTCTTCAATTTGAGAGTGAGGTACGAAAACTGTACGGTCAGTTCCTTTTCTGTCTCTGCAGTAACAACTATATAAACATTGCTAAAATAGACAAGAAATCAAATCTTTCCTCTCATGCTCATCAGGACTAGGAAGCAGGAAACCAAACTTGGAAAGGGAGCTCCAATTTATACAGCAGGAGAAGGTGGTGCTGGTTGGTTGGCCCATTGTTGACATGGAGCAGGATTCGTTAACTGTCAATCTTAGCTGCAAAACAGGCAGGTCAGCTCTGATTAGATATGGTGTTGCCATGGCAAGTTAAACAGGGATTTGCAGTCTCTATGACCCTTTCCTCAGTGAAATTGGTGCAATGTATGAACTAATTCCTTTTGCCTGCAAAGATCGTGTTTTTTTACTAAGATTGACAGTTATGAAGTCATATTGGACTCAAAACGTAACTGTTTTCCTCTCTGAGAGAGGATGATCTCAATGAATGGCAGAACTGGCTTGAGGGATTGAATGGCCTTCACCGCTGTGAGACCTACGCAGTGTTAGCAATTATTTAGAGCTATATAAACACAGATTTTGTTGTTGATATTATTGTTAAACTATGACAGCCATAAATAGTACTCTCCAACTGTAGCAGCCTCACTCAGCGCTTGTAGGATAATTCATGTAGGAAATGGTGGCAATGTCTCAGTGTTGCACTCAGGACCATTTCTGAACTTGCAACATATGGTTAGAGGTCAGAGGGGAAGTTTCTTCGCATCATATAGTGCTGTACCAGGTGTGGGTGTGCTTGGAGTTTAACAGTGGGTTCCTGAAATTAATGCATTCCATTCTCTGACAAAAATATACAAAAATTCAAAAATACAGACATCTGCTAAAGGTTCAGGGCAGGCCTGGCACAGTCTCCAACAACCCAACATCCGTCAAAGTAGATTTGAGCAACAATGCTTGGCCAAGCTAAAGGCCCAGTGACCCAGGCACAAGCAGATACTGAAAGTCTTCAGGACATGGGAGGAGTCAGAGGACAAAGATGCTTTGGACGATATTAAACAGCCTGGAGAGAGAAAGGAAATAATTAGTCGCCGGGCAAGAGAACACAATCTATGGTGACTGAAGTTTATGCATCTTCTGAGATTCTGGGTAACTGGTCTCCATGGATATACCTGTAAGGTTTTTAAAATTGCTGGCATTTGATAAACGCCTTCAGCTTCTCACTTAGAAGAACACTTTGCTGTTGACCCTGAGGAACGGAGTGGAGAACGCCCAAAATCATTTCAGTAGAATGGTACCAGGAGTGAGTCCAGCAGTAAAACGCAGCCCCAAACAGATGGGATGAAAGGCTTAAGCAGCTGCCGGAGTGACAAGTCTTTCATCTCCATCTGTCAGCCTTGACTGCCAGCAAATCACCACCCATTCCCACTGTCCCACCAGCACTTCCCTCAACATTGCAACTTTCTTTTTTACAGATAGGTATAGAGATTTTGCTGAAAGTTCCTCATGTTGTCTCACAAGGTTTACAACTCTTCAAACACTCTTCCTGGATCAGCTGCAATGAAACACTGAACAACAGGAAAATGCTCAGTTGTGTCAAAGAGTGCCATTTACAGCCTTTAAGATGTAAAGCACTTTGAGACATCCTAAGATATATTTTCAAACTGTAGTCACCACAGTAGCAGAGGAGAGGTGGCACTAAATTTATCCACTGAGCAAGTCTCAATCTGTGAGAGATGCTATACTTTAACATAATTAGGTTATTTCCCACTGTCCGTATATAACTGGGGGAAGGGATGGAAGAGGGAGGAGGAGGTGTGTGTGTCAGTGTGTGCATGTTGAGGGGAAAGGGTTATGGTTGGAAGAAGAATCATTGCAGGCAGGAATGTGTTTCAAGATTTTGAAGAGATCAAGCTTGTACAAACATCAATGTGGTACTGAGCAGATCACCATTTTTGTTTCACTGACGTCAGCTAAAAGATAAATACTGGGCACAACCCCACAGGGAAGAACACCAATACCCTCCTTCAATATGGTGCCATACAATCTTTCATCAATGGAATACAATATGGGAAAGTGTGAGGTTATGCACTTTGGTGGGAAGAATAGAGGTGTAGATTATTTTGTAAATGGAGAAAAGCTTGAGAAATCTGAAGCACAAAGGGACTTAGGAGTCCTCATTCAGGATTCTCTAAGGTTCAGGTTCATTTGGCAGTTAGGAAGCCAAATGTAATGTTCACATTCATTTCATGAGGGCTAGAATACAAGGGCAGGGTGTACTGCTGAGATTGTATAAGGCTCTGGTCAGACTACATTTGGAATATTGAGACACATTTTGGGCCCTGTGTCTAAGGAAGGATGTGCTGGCCTTGGACGAGGTCCAGAGGTGGTTTACAAAAGTGATCCTGAAAAATGAAAGGCTTGTCATATGAAGAGCAATCGAGGACACAGCCTCTGTACTCAATGGAATTTAGAAAGATGGAGTTTAGAAGAATTGGTGGGGGGCGGAATCCGATTGAAACCTACTGAATACTGAGAGGCCTGGTTAGAGTTGACATGGAGAAGGAGTTTCCATTAGTAAGAGATTCAGATCCATTGAAAAAGGCTCAGAATGAAGGGATGACCTTGAGAACCAACATGAGGAAGAATTTCTTCAATCATAGAAACTAATTGTAGAACTTATTGCCGCAGAAAGCTGTAGGGGCTAAGTTAGTGAGTGTATTTAAGACAGAGAAGCATAGATTATTGATTAGTAAGGGTCAGATTAGTAGGACAGATGGAATTAAGGATTATAGGTAGAAGACAGGAGAATGGGGTTGAGAAACACATCAGCAATGATTGAATGTTGAAGCAGACTTGATGGGCTGAATGGCCCAATTCTGTTCCTATGTGTTATGGTCTTTTACATTAACCCAGGAAGGTCAGACATTACTTCTGTTCAAAATCTCATCCGGCAGCATTCCCTCAATGTGGCACTCGGACTGTCAGTCTGGGTTAGGTGTTCAAGTGTCTAAAATGGGAATTGAACTCACAACCTTCTGAGCCACCATAGATGGAATTGTTTTAGTTTTCATCAGTTAAATTCCAGCAATATCCCCACATTGGAAAGTGTGGGAGTGATGGAATGTGAAAGAACAGAGCGTGAGAATGGGAATGAAAGCAAATGAGAGTTAGACAATTGACACAGTGAACATTTCAGGTCACTGATCTTCCACTGTTGAGGAAGATGGGTGCAATCTGCTTAATTTCCAGTTATTATCTCAGATCTCAAATATTGGTAGCTATTTTGCTCTCAACTAAGTTCACCAGATTTAGGAATGACACCGCACCCCACCCCCAACCATTTAAAGTGTTAACCAGTTGACCTTCCACAATCATTGCAAACACCATACAAAACTGTTGTGCTACTCTTGCTCCATTAGAGATGGGTGATTCAAAATTATAAGAAATAGATGGCATGAAACTATTTCCGCTGTTCGAGGAGTCAAGGATCAGGGGATATAATCAAAATATTAGATGCAGATCTCTAAGGAGTGAAACTAGGAAACACGTTTACATGCAAAGGGTTGTGGAAATTTGGAACACACTTCCTGAACAACAGTTACTGCTGGTCACCTGTTAATTTTAAATCTAAAATAAATAGAGTTTTGAGCATTGCTGAGAGAGAAGCTTGTTGAAGCTATTTGTAATTCACTAATCAGGGCAGACACAAGGTCAAACTTCAGAAGATACTAAGTCAACTCTAATTACTCAAGGTGTTGTTGTACAGAATGCACCAGGGAACCACTGACCCTCATGCTTTTGTTTAATTACAGAAATTTTAAATTTATTTTAAAAAGTGTAATGCCTGATTATGTTCCTTTTGCCACAGAAGAAGGTATGTAGCTTCTAGCAGGCATCAGTCAGCCAAGTTTCAAGAACAACTGACAACTGTAAATTGGTTGTTAGTGTAACTCACAGCACATTTTGTGATTATTCATCAGGTACTGTCTAATCATGAAATCACATTTATGTTTCAGGACTGAAATAAGCACAGGCTATGGTACGTGGCTATCTGCCTATTATGAACAGCCGAAGGGATGTGCTGACTGATATGATGATCCTCTAGTTGTTGGGATGTACAGGCTATATGTCCAGTTGGTCAACAAAAATCTATGAAAGTCCTGAGGTTTCAAGGATATGGGACAAAGGCAGGTTTTCTTTTATGCATTTGCAGGACGAGGACGTTGCTGGCTAGGCTAGCATTTATTGTCCATCCCTAATTGCCCAGAGGGCGGTTAAGAGTCAACCACATTGCTGTGCGTCTGGAGTCATATGTAGGCCAGACCAGGTAAAGATGGCAGTTTCCCTTCCTTAAAGGATATTAGTGACATTCCTGACAATTAGCAATGGATTCATGATCATCATTTGACTTTTATTCAGATTTTTATTAAATTCAAATTCCACCATCTGCTGTGGCAGGATTCGAATCTGGGTCTCTGGAACATTACCTGGGTCTCTGGATTAAGAGTAAAGAAAGAATACTTGCTTCCCCTGAGGAGCTGCTGGTTATTGGAGTTATATGAAATTGGTGCAGAAAACATTACATAGCCTTCTCCTGTTGCTGTCTGCACTGGATCCTTACCTTGTCTGCGAAGTAGCTGTCGATGAGAAAGTTGGCTCGGACTCTGATCTCCTGGTTACAGTGGTACTGAGCCATCTCAAGAGCCAAGATTCCATTTTGGTTTGCAAATCTTGCACAGGCCTGTCAGAATTAGATATTTGAAAGGACTCATTAAACATGAATTTTGTTTAAAAAAAAAAAAAGTGGAGAGTGCGCATTATTTAATTCACAAGCTAAACTTCTGCGTTATGGTACATTATCAAAGGTCGGAGGATCTGAGTTGGAAGCAGTCTGCAATTCTAGATGAACATTTCAGAATCATTCTCCCACATATTCTCTTGTTACCTGCCCAGTAAAGCTGATCCTTTCAGGCATTATTCTTGGAACATGTACATTACTGGCAAAGCAAGATGGTGAGCTGCTTTCTTGAACTGCCACAGCCTGTGTAGTGTAGGTACACCCATGGTTCTGTTAGGAAGAGTGCTTCAGGTTTTTGACCCCAGCAACAAAGAAGTAATACTGATACATTTCCAAGTCTGAGTGAACACCTCAGGGTAATTGCAGGTAGTGGTATTCCATTCATTTGTTGCCATATGCGGCAGACGTCCTCTGCCCCCACCCACCACAGCTGTCTTTAACGACAAACCGGGTGAGCCGGATTGGTTACGTTATAGCAGCAGCTACGATCGAGCTCAGGTTTATGAACAGTGCTGTGAGAGAGATAGTGAAAGCGCAGATGAGGGGTTTCAGTAGCAGATGAGCTGAGACAGGGGTAGAGTTGGATGATGTTACCAGGTGAAAACATGTTTCGTGTTGGGCTGCAGCATCCGTGAGGAAGGCAAACTGCAGGTTAAGAATGTGCCAGTAATTTAGTGATAACCTCAACAGAGTATTTGACACAGCCTCTTCCCTTCACGTAGGAATGCCTTGGAAAAGCTATCCTCTTCCAAGTTGAAATGCCACACTGCAGCGTCATATCCCATCAGCAATGAGGGGCATCATGAGAGACTGAAATTTTTGTGCTTTTTGTAGCATTTGAATCAATGTCTAGCTGGGGACACTATTTAATGATCAGTTTTTGCCATCTGTTCAAGTGGTACTTGAAAGAGATTTATAAATTTTAAATAGAATCTTGCAGACAGCAGGAAATTGAACATTTGCATCTGTCCCAGAATACTTTACATATATAATGAAACTTGTACCGACTAGGTGGAGTTCCCATCAAAGCAACACTGGATGAAAACCTACAAATCTTGCACGAGCACTGCATTTCACAGCTTATCCAGTTAGACTATTTACTGCATCCTTCACACCAAAATATTTTTGTGCCATATGTAACACACCAAAGTTGACTAATGAGACATTTGGAACCATGTATTTATCCCCTTGACCAATGAGCTTTAAGAATTAAGGAAGAAAGAAGAAAGGAACTAACTGGGAGGAAAGCTCAAATTTGCATCAAGTCTGGTACAGAATGACAGAGAGAGTGGTCAGCATTGCTGCCTCACAACGCCAGGGACCCGGGTACAATTCCAATCTCGGGCAACTGTCTGTGTGGAGTTTGCACATTCTCTCCGTGCCTGCGTGGGTTTCCTCCCACAGTCCAAAGATGTGCAGGTTAGGCGAATTGCCCGTGCTAATTGCCCATAGTGTCCAGGGATGTCCAAGTTAGGTGGATTAGCCATAGGAAATGCAGGGTTACAGGGATAGGATAGGGGGATGAGTTTGGTGGGATGCTGTTCAGAGGGTCGGTGTGGGCTTGTTGGGCCAAATGGCCTGTTTCCACACTGTAGGGATTCTATGAATTCTATGAAAAAGGAAGAAGGATTGAATTAAGAAAGGAAAGACAGTAAGGAAACGTAAGAAACAAAAGCAAAAATTTAATACTTAACATTTTAAAGAAATTCTGAAAATAATTTACCACCTGAAGAAATGAAAGTCCAGTTTAAATCGTTCAATACTAGGCCTGAAAGATTCACTGGCATTGAACGAATAACCATCTCGCCATTAAAAAGATTTGAGAATATCCTATAGTGAGTTTAACAGCAAATAATGTGCAAATCCAATAAATTCTCAGAAATGGCAGGAAGGCCGAGAGGTGCTGCTTGAATAAAGTAATTGGTGGACCAACAAAAATCAATAGGCCAACGTCATGAAAACAGAAACATTCAGCATCTGAGAGTTTAGCATTACATCAGGACTCACTTGAGACAGCTCTGCTATATTACCAGCCATACAAAGCATCAATTTTTATTTTCACATTTCCTACAGTCACCTCTCAACTTATACCCATTTCTCAAGCCTGCCAGAATTTAACATTCAAACATCACACTGATCATCTAACCCCTCTCCTCTCAGTGTCAAATAATTCTTTTGTGCATTTGTTGACATGTCAACATCTGTTTTTTGTCAATTTAGAAACAAACAAAAAACAAACTTGATCGATGTGCTTATGATTTAACTAAAAGCCTCAATATCCCTCTACAGTTAGGAGTGAGAACAACATTTGTCTTGGGTCAGCTTTCTAAAGCCAGTGTGTTCCCCAAGTCTCCTTAAACAAAATTATGGACACTAAGCTGATTGAGCAGTACATACCTTGGTTTTCCCCTTGAATTGGTATTCTTACAAACCACTGAGTGGAAGACAAAAAGCTTTGTGTCTTTTTTCAGTAATATTCAAGTTCTGCTCTCCCAAATGACTACCTACATCTTCCAGAACATATGTGCAATTCAGTCCTTCACTGCCCATTCCATGAACATCAATCTTAACTGGTGTCACTAGTTACCATTCGAGAGAGTCTCTACCACTGGGATGTATCATGCAGCTCTCATCATACGTGGATCTTGTTCGGACACTACAATGCATTGGTGCCTCGGCACACCATGCTATGGGATGAACTACTTTGTCACACTTGCCATTCCCCACGTGCAACTATGCTATCTGCCATTGATGTGGAGAGCTAAGAAATACCCACTCCTGTCTTGAAAACAAAGATGGGATGCTGTTCCATGTGGATACTCCTCCACCTAGGTCTATAACCTTTCCACAGCTCATAGCAGTGGGAATTTATCACGTGAAAGCGCGAGAAAATTGGTAACAGCAAGATGACCAGCAAAACTTTTCCTTCCCTGAACCTTCCTGCATCTCTTTTCTCCTTCAAGTTGCCTGCCTGCTTCTTTGTCTAAGCTTCTGGTCATGTGCTCAAACAGGTTTGATCAAATCAAGGTTTGTTTGATGCCACTCCTCTGAAGTGTTTTGGAAGGTTTTACAACATGAAAAGTGCCACACAAATGTAAGTTGTGTGCAAATGTAAGCAGGACATTCAACCACAAGGTCTCATTTAGGTTCAAAGAAATGAACGCTCCAGTAGTGGGTCATTCAATTCCAACCAATGGGCGGAATTCAGCTTTAACTTTTATTCCTCCGTAACCTTGTACTGCATTGGCTGTGATTGCAGTAGCCCAACTAACAGCTCCCTTAGCACCAAACAGACCTGGGGGGCCTCAATCTGTATGTCTCAAAACCACACAAGCTTGAATCATGGAATTCAAGACTCGGATCGGTTTCCTGGGCTGACAGAGTCAACAAATAGTGTTATCTCTGCCAAAGGCATGCCTTTAACACAATCACTGAAACAAAACATTGCAATTTCTGTCAGGATTAGCAATCTCATAACCTACACACTGAACAATAAACAGGATGGTCCTAGTGAGCGAACAGCTTCTAACAGAAATAGGAAGGATTACCTTGAATATTGCCGATTGGCCTCCTGGATGTCGAGAAGGAAAAATCACTTCGGATGGAAGAGGGCTCCACAGGGTGGACCAACGCTGGTTCCGTCATCAACATGTGGTTTGGCACAATAAGACTTCGGACAGAGGAATATTTAAAAAATGAACCATGTTTGCTTTGGCTAATTCAAGAAGACTTCAAGAATGAAAGAAACTGCCGCTTCCAAGTGGGGAGGTCAGCTTCATCCAGAGACCAGTAAGTCCTCCTGGGGGGAAATAGTCTCCCCCTTGCTTAACCCTACCTGCTTGACCAATCTCACCTGTTATGAGTTGTATGACTTTTCTGCCTATTTAGACTATATAAATGATTGTCGGTCAATATACTTAATAAACTATGTAGGAACTTTCAATCACCTATTTTGGGTAATCCACAACTCCTGAATTATAAATCCTACATAACAGACACAAATGAGCTTTAAGCAAATCACTGCTCGGCGTCAAAAGGCACAGAAGAGACAACAGGAGACCTGAAAAGGAAACATGACAATGCAAATGCTTTTTTGGGGTCTTTTGAAGGGGCCTGTTTCTGGTGAGAAGCAGAAACAGGTTTAAGGGTTCAAACTTGGCATGCAAAGCACTGTAAATATAAACTGTGGCGATTAACCCACAGCACTCTTGTGTAAAATTTAGACAAGATGTGTGCCGGCAATCAGCAGGCTTTACACACTTAAAAACAAGAAATGGCCTCCTCACCTGCCGACAATGTAAAAATATCAGATTCAGCACCTCTAGTGTCAGACGCGCTACCTCTGGGTCAGCCGTGCTGAGGGTGGTGCAGAGAGCAGGAAATAAGCCTGTTTGCTGTTGCAGATTCTCACAGTACTCAAGCCCCAGCTCTGCAATATTACCCAACAGCATCAAAACCTGCATTAAACACACAAAGGCATACACTCAAATATGAAATAACTGTAAAACTGCAGTGAATTAACAGCACAGACACAGACATTCAGTCCAACTGATTTATGCCAGTATTTATATTCAAGTGAAACTCCTCCCATCCCAAGTTCATCTCCTCCTCAGAATATCCTATTACTTTCTCATTCAAATGCGGTGGTGTAATAGTAATGTCATGGGGCTAGTAATCCAGAGGCCTTGACTACCACTCTGAGGACATAGGATCAAATCATGGCAGCTGGTGGGATTTAAACTCAATCAATAATATCTGGAATAATAAAACCTGTCTCAGCAATGGTGCCACAACTGTTGCAAAATCCCATCTGGTTCACTCATGTTATTTAGGAAAGGAAATCTGCCGTCGTTACCTGATCAGGCCTATGGGTGACTCTACACCTGCAGCAATGTGAATGACTATCTTCAGAGGTGTCCACATAAAGCATTCAGTTCAAAGACAGTTAGTGATGGGCAAGAAAAATAGCCTTGTTAATGACAGTCACACCCCACAAAGGAATAATGAATAAAATATAAAGCTCTCTTTTGAATGCATCAATGCATCCACAGATAATAAGTTCCACATTCTCAACCCTGTCTGGCTAAAGAGGTTTCTTCTGAATTGACAGCAAATAGTGTGGGAACTGTAGTTTGTTGAGGTTAAACATCCACTTTGACAGGTTGGGGCAATCAGTGGATTGCTAATTCAAACACCAAGATGGTAAAAATATTAAAATTGCAATTGGGTGAGAGACTGGGAGAGTTAGAATAATATAGAAATGAACACAGATGTGTTCAATTTAGATTTTTCTACTTTTCTAATAACAGCAAGATGCTGTTATTTACATGGTGCACAGCGTAGTCATCAAGGTAGAACAAAGGTCAAAGAACAGTACAGCACAGGAACAAGCCCTTTGGCCCACCAAGCCCATGCTGATACATGACACCTTTCTAAACTGAAAACCTTTTGCCTTTACGTGGTCCGTATACCTCTATTCCCTGACAAATTATGTATCTGTCAAGATGCCTCTTAAAATGTTGCTGCTGAATCTGCTTGCAGCACATTCCAGGCACATACCAAACTGTATAAAAAAATTGCCTCTCACATCTTCTTTAAGCTTTCCCCCTTTTACCTTAAACATAAATCCCCTAGTAATTGACATTTCTAATCAGGGAAAAAGACTCTTGACGATCCATTCTATTCAATACTGAAATGTTGTAATCGTACCAGCCTCCACCACTTCCTCTGGCAGCTCATTCCATACATGCACCATTCTGTGTGTGAAGAGGTTGACCCTGTTCCCTTTCACTTGAAACCTATGCCCTCTAGTTTAGGACTCCCCCGACCCCAGGGAAAAGACCTTGCCTATTTACCTTCTCCATGTCCCTCATGATTTTATAAACCTCTATAAGGTTACCCTTCACCCTTCAATGCTCCAGGGAAAATAGCCCCAGCCTATTCAACCTTTCCCTATAGCTCAAACCTTCCAACCCTGGCAACATCCTTGTAAATCTTTTCTGAAACCTTTCAAGTTTCACAACGTCCTTCCTATAGGAGGGAGACCAGAATTGCAGGCAATACTTCAAAAGTGGCCTAACCAATGTCCTGTACAGCTGTAACACGACCTCCCAACACCTATGCTCAATGCACTGATCAATAAAGGCAAGCATAACAAGCGCCTTCTTCGATAATTATCCTGCCTACCTGCGACTCCACTTTCAGGGAAATATGAACCTGCACTCCAAGGTCTTTTTGTTCAGCAACAATCCCCAGGACTTTAGCATTAAGTGTATAAGTCCTGCCCTGATTTCACTTTCCAAAATGCAGCACCTCACATTTAGCTAAATTAAACTCCATCTGCCTCTCCTTGGCCCATTGGCCCATCTGATCAAGATCCTGTTGTATTGACGTAACCTTCTTTGCTGTACACTATGCCTCCAATTTTAGTGTCATGTGCAAACTTACTAACCATACCTCCTATGTTTACATCCAAATCACTTATAAAAATGATGAAAAGCAGAAGACCTAGCACCAAACCTTGTCACAGGCCTCCAGTCTGAAAAGCAACCCTCCACCACCACCCTCTGTCTACTACCTTTGAGCCAGTTCTGTATCCAATTAGCTAGTTCTCCCTCTATTCCATGTGATCTAAACTTGCTAACCAGTCTTCCATGAGGAACCTTGTCCAACGCCTTACTGAAGTCCGTATAGATCACATCTACTGCCCTGTCCTCATCAATACACTTTGTTACTTCTTCAAAAAACTCAATCAAGTTAGTGAGACACGACTTCCCACGCACAAAGCCATGTTGGCTATCTGGATGGGTGTATGAATAGGAAGGGTTTAAGTGGATATGGGCCAAATGCTGGCAAATGGGACTAGATTTAAATAGGATATGATATCTGGTCTGCATGGGCAAGTTGGACTGACGAGTCTGTTTCTGTTCTGTATATCTCTATGACTGTATCCACGCCTCATAATTTGTAAACTTCTATCAGGTCGCTTTTCAGCCTCCAACGTTCAAGTGAAAACAAATCTGAATTTGTCCAATCTCTCCTCATAGCTAATAGCCTCCAAACCAGATATGATAAAGGACAAAACAAAACAATGAATCATGTAAGGAGCCAAAGGCTGATCAGGGAGATGTTAAGCAGACTCTTAAAGGAGAGAAGAGTTAAGCATCATAGGCGGATGAAGGCACAAAGGCTACTGGTTATGAAATGAGACTTGGGCATTTGCAAGGGACCAGAATTGGAAGACAGCAAATATTTTGGAGGACTGTAAGATACGAGGAGGGGTGAGGTCATGGAGTGATTGGAAAACAAGGATGTATGTAATTCGCAATCTTGTCTCAAATTTAAATAGAGAGGTACAAACTTACTAGTGTGTTTATCCCACCAGAGAAAGGGATTAGCTGAAGGAACACTGGCACCAGGTTATGACAGAAGATAATGGAGCAGAATTGTCTTTCACCAGCTGTAGTGAGCAATTATTGGATAATTAATACAGCAACATTGTCATTAAAAATATACACACACAATTCTATAGACTTTTCCCACTACACCAGCAACAGAATTTAAAAAAGACAAAACTAGAGCTGAGGAGGTTACACTTGTCTGGAAAGGAGTTATTTTCTTCAGTTAGAGAAGACGAAGGGGTGACCTGATATTGGATTCAAAAGGATTGATATAGATAAGACTTATGGGGATAAGCTCTGGGTTCAACTCCCAACTGCTCCAGAGGTGTGTAATAACATGTCTGAATAGGTTGACAGAAAATATCTGCTCCCTGATAATGGGCTGTAGTAGCGCAGCGGTAGTGTCCCTTTGAGCCAGGAGGCATGCAATAACTTCTCTGAACAAGTTGCTATGAAGATATCTATTACCTGTTAATTATTTCAAAACAGGCTAACACTCACCTGTGAGGTTGTTGAGAAGCCAGAGGCACTCGCGGGTCACAAAAGGCCGTGACTGCAGAAACCCACGCAGGAACACACTCAGGGCCCGCAGCAAGTCATCGTCATGGAACTGGACTTTGCACCGCACTCCTTCATCACTGGCGATTAGATTTCCCAAGCACCGAGCCACAGGGTAAATCAGCTGAAGTGGCAAGGAGGAAAATGCGGGATTTAAAATTGGGCAGGAATAAATATCTCACAATCATGGGAATGATTTAAAAATTTCAATGGAAATAAACAGTCAGATTCCACTGTGTCCAAATATTTTTCTCTGCAGATAGTGTGGTCAGGTGGCCAGCAACAGAAATTGCTATGAACCTGGTTAAGAGCTACAATCAAGCATGCTGGGGATTTTAATGAAGCCAGTTTAAATTCTGACCTCAGTTAAAACTGCAGCCAGGACCTGCTGTGACCTGTAGTTTCCTGTGTTGACCAAATAAGGCAAGTGTCACGGTGGTCTCTAGACATACTAGCACCACACTACCTTATTTGGAGCATAGAATATTGCTGAGGTTGGTTGGCTCGCCGAGCTGGTTTGTTGTTCCGCAGACGTTTCGTTACCATGCTGGGTAACATCCTCAGTGCAGCCTCTGATGAAGCGCCGGTGTGTTTTCCCGCCTGGCTTTTAAACTCTGGGGTCCGTTGCAATGGATTGCCTCACCTCCAGGTTTCCTCCGTAGTGGAGTATATATGGGGTCGAGTTCAATGTGTTTATTAATAGCCTGCTTCGTGGAGTGCCATGCTTCCAGGAATTCTCATACTGGTCTCTGCCTAGCCTGTCCCATGATCTTGGTGTTGTCCCAGTCGAAGTCGTGGTTCTCCTTGTCCACGTGGATTGAGATGAGTGAGTATTGGTCGTGTCTTTTTGTAGCCAGTTGGTGTTCATGTACTCTTGTTGTTAGTTTCCTTCCTGTTTGTCCGATGTAGTGTTTCTCACAGTCTCTGCAGGGGATCTTGTAGATGACATTGGTCCTGTCCATGGCGGGGAGTGGGTCTTTAGTTCGGGTGAGCACTTGTCGTAGGGATGATGTGGGTTTGTGTGCCACTCTGATGCCCAGCTGTCGTAGAAGTCTTGCCAACCACACTTACCCACAAAAGCGACAACAACAGAACTGACACATGGATAAGGAACCTCTCCGACAGGAAACTGACAGAGGCGGAAAAAACCGTTCTCACCCGGGGACTGAACTACAACTACAGGGATGCCAACAAAACGGAATGGCTAGCTACACCGGAAGCCACACTCAAGACCAACAATATCAACGAAGAAACACAACAAACTATAAGACAGACAGTAGTCCCGACACTAACCAGAAGGAGGGAACTCAACACCCTCAACACACGGGAAAGACAAGCCCTGGACAGATGAAAGAAGGACAAGAACATCACTATAATACCTGCAGACAAAGGGCGCATGACAGTGATAATGAATAAAAGGGACTACATCTCCAAAGCACAGGCACTGCTCACTGACGAGAACACATACCGACCAGTACAAACTGACCCGACACCGCAACTAGGCAACAAAATCCTATACACACTACAAAGACTTAAACAAACAGGACAGATCAACAAAGCAGACTTCTTAAGAATGAAACCCAAAGGAAACAACACACCCCAATTCTACGGCCTCCCTAAGGTGCACAAACCGGAAGTCCACCTCAGACCCATAATCTTCCTACCAGGCACTCCATCGCACAGATTAGCCAGAGAACTACAAAGAAGACTCAAGCACCTAGTCAACAAATCACCCCACTCCATCCACTCAGCCCAAGAATTCCTCAAATCCATCGAAGACATAAAGATAGAGGACGAAGAGACCATGATGTCGTTTGATGTCAGTGCCCTATTCACGTCAATAGACGTGCCACTAGCAAGGGAAACAATGACAACACTACTTGAACAAGAACACAACCCCAGTGAAACCATCTCCAAGGACAACATGCTTAAACTACTGGACCAATGCCTGACCACCCACTTCACCTTCAACAGCCATACATACGAGCAAATCAACGGGACACCCATGGGATCGCCCATCCCCGGACTCATAGCAGAAGCAGTGATGCAAAGACTGGAAAGGACTGCCCTTCCGCAAATCCAACCTAAACTATGGATACGCTACATAGACGACACCTTTGTCATCATTAAACGGACCAAATTAGAAGAGACACACAAACTCAAACAACACCCTCACCGGAATAAAATTGACCAGAGAGGAGGAGACAAACAAACAACTCCCATTCCTGGACGTCATGGTAGAGCACAAGACAAATGGGGAACTGCAAAGAAAAGTACACCGAAAAGCCACACACACAGACCAGGTATTGAACTTCAATAGTAACCATCCAAGCACACACAAACGAAGCTGCGTGCGAACATTATTTAAAAGGGCAACAACACACTGCAGCAACATGGAACTATGCCAAGAGGAGGAGGAATACCTCTTCCAAGTGTTCAAGGATAATGGATATCCAAAGAACTGGGTCAGGAGATGCCTACAGGAACAGCATCAGAAAGATTCTACACGCCCCGACACACTCATCACACTACCCTACATCAGGAACACGTCAGAACTCACCACAAGACTTCTACGACCGCTCAGCATCAGAGTGGCACACATCAACCCTACGACAAGTGCTCACCCGAACTAAAGACGCACTCCCCGCCATGGACAGGACCAATTTTTCTTTTTCTACAAGATCCCCTGCAGAGACTGCGAGAAACGCTACATCGGACAAACAGGAAGGAAACTAACAACAAGAGTAAATGACACCAACTGGCTACAAAAAGACACGACCAATACTCACTCATCTCAATCCACATGGACAAGGAGAACCACGACTTCGACTGGGACAACACCAAGATCCTGGGACGGGCTAGGCAGAGACAAGCACGAGAATTCCTGGAAGCATGGCATTCCACAAAGCAGGCTATTAATAAACACATTGAACTCGGCCCCATATACATTCCACTACGGAGGAAACCCGGAGGTGAGGCAATCCATCGCAAAGGACCCCAGAGTTTAAAAGCCAGGCGGGAAAACACACCGACGCTTCATCAGAGGCTGCACTGAGGATGTTACCAAGCACGGTAACGAAACGTCTGAGGAACAACAAACCAGCTCGGCGAGCCAACCAACCTCAACACCCACAACCCGAGCTACAAGTCTACTCCAAAACCATAGAATATTGCTGTTTATGACTCGGTGTAAACATTTGGGAGTTGTTCATAGAATCTCTACAGTGTGGAAGAAGGCCATTCGGCCCATCTGATCCACAAAGACCATCCCAAGAGTGTCCCACTCAGACCACTCCACTACGCTGTCCCTGTAACCCTGCATTTCCCCATGGCCAATCCATCTAACTTGTGCATCTTTGGACTGTGGGAGGAATATGGAGCAACCAGAGGAAACCCACGTAGACACAGGGAGAACGTGCAAACTCCACACAGACAGTTGCCCGAGGGTGGAATTGAACCCAGGTCTATGGCACTTTGAGGCAGCAGTGCTAACCACCGAGGCACCGTGCCACCCAGTAAACTCGATCGGCTGGAATCAAACAACGTGATCAGGCTTTGATCAATTCACTGGATGAGTGTCAGAGATCTTCCTAAAATAGAGCACGTTTCCGATTACTTAACAGAACAAAGAAATTTTTCTAAGAATAAATGATTTGGATGTGAACTTAGAAGATATGGTTAGTAAGTTTGCAGATGTCACCAAAGTTGGAGGTGTAGTGAACAGTGAAGAAGGTTATCTCAGAGTACAACAGGATCTTGATCAGATGGGCCAATGGGCCGAGGAGTGGCAGATGAGAGTTTAATGCAGATAAATGTGAAGTGCTGCATTTTGGAAAGGCAAATCAGGGCAGGACTTATATACTTAATGCTAAGGTCCTGGGGAGTGTTGGTGAACAAAGAGACCTTGGAGTGCAGGTTCATAGTTGCTTGAAAGTGGAGTCCTGGGTAGACAGGATAGTGAAAAAGGCATTTGCTATGCTTGCTTTAATTGGTCAATGCATTGAGTGAAGGAGTTGGGAGGTCATATTGCAACTGTACAGGATATCGGTTTGGCCACTTTTCGAGTATTGCCTACAATTCTGGGCTCTCTGCTATAGGAAAGATGTTGTGAAACTTGAAAGGGCTTAGAAAAGATTTACAAGGCTGTTGCCAGGGTGAAAGGTTTAAGCTTTAGGGAAAGGCTTAATAGGCTGGGGCTATCTTCCCTGGAGCATTGGAGGCTAAGGGGTGACCTTATAAAATCATGAGGGGCGTGGATAGGGGGAATAGACAAGGTCGTTTCCTCAGAATGGGGGAGTCCAAAACTAGAGGGAATAGGTTTGAGGTGAGAGGGGAAAGATTTAAAAGGGACCCAAGGGCAACATTTTCACACAGATGGTGGTGCGTGTATGGAATGAGCTACCAGAGGAAGTGGTGGAGGCTGGTAGAATTACAACATTTAAAAGGCATCTGGTTAGGTACATCAACAGGAAGGATTTAGAGGGATATGAGCCAAATGCTGGCAAACGAGACTAGATTTATTTAGGATATCTGGTCAGCATAGACGAGCTAGACAGAAGGGTCTGTTTTCATGCTGTATGCCTCTAAGCCTCCTGACCATGTTGGGAACGCACGTGCCCTGAAGTCAGTTTCAGAGAGAAGACAAAGAACCGTGAGGTTGACCTTCACGGAGAACAAAGCTGGCCACTGCACTCAAATCGGTGTATTATTTAATTCGAGCCAAACATCTACAGTTAAAGTAAGAGTTTGGGTTAAACGTGGATTAAGAAAAGTAAAGTGAAGTTGAATGAAGTGAGTTAAAGTTGAAGTTAGATTAAGTGAGAATTAAATGTTACAATGAATGTATGTTTTATATTGGGTATTGGTACTTAAAGAGTTAAAATAAAGAAGGGTTTGTTTAATTAAGTTCTGAGTCGGTTCCCTGTCTTTTGTCTGACACACGAGGCTAGAACACTTGGGTAAAAAGGTTTCAGCACTTCTTTTCGGGCAACAATAGAAATCATGTTTCATGACAGATGAAATGGGCAAGTTTGGGTCCTGCTATAGGTAGAAGATCGGCTAGCCAACAGCAAACAGAGAGGAGGCATAAATGGGTCATTTTCTGCTTGGCAAGATGTAATGAATTTTATTTCATTATGCTCTTGTGGACATGGTTGTCACTGGCTGGGCCAGCACGTATTGCCTGTTCCTAGTTGTCCTTGAGATGGTGATGGTCAACTACCTTCTTGAACCACTGCAGTCCATGTGCTGTAGATACTCACAGTGCAGTTATGGAGGGATTTCAGGATTTTGATCCAGTGACCTTGAAGAAATGACAATATATTTCCAACTCAAGATGGTGAGTGGCTTGGAGGAGAACTTGCAAGTGGTGGTGATCTGCTGCCCTTGTCCTTCTAGACAGAAGTGGTCATTGGGTTTGGAAAATGTTCTCTGAGGATCTTTGCTGAATTTCTGCAGTGCATCTTGTAGATAGTACACACCGAGACGAGGAGAATTTTTTTCCTCATAGAAGGTCATGAATCTTTGGAACTCTCTTCTTCAAAATGCAGTGGAAGCAGAATGCCTGAATATTTTTAAGGCACAGTTTGATAAATTCTTGATAAGCAAGGGTATGAAAGATTACTGGGAGCTGGCTGGAATGTGGAGTAATCAGATCAGCCATCATCTTACTGAATGGCTGAGCAGGCTTGAGGGGCCGAGTGGCCTACTTTTAATTCATATGTATGCTCTCCTGTTCCTAAATTCCACTCCAGAAATTTGAACACAAAAGCTAGGTTGACATTCCTTGCAGGTGCCAACTTTCAGACAAAAGCCCGTCTGCTTTCTCAGGCAGATGTGAAAAGGTGGGTATTATGCAAAACGACAGCAGGAGAGTTTTGCTGCGTTGTGGTAAATATTTAGCATTCAAAACAAAATTAAATGGCCATTATCACACTGTTGATGGTGGGAGTTTGCTGTGAGCAATGTGTGGGCTGTGTTTCTCCAAATTACAACACTGAAAGGCAGATGTGCACTTATCTTACACGACTGCTGGATGGCTGTAAAATGCTTTGGGACAGAGAGGTACCATTAAAATGAAGTCATTGTTGCAATGTAGGAAACACAGCAGTCCAGAACATTAACAGGATATTAGAACTTCTTCAAAGTAATGCCTCTGGCATCTTTTTTGCCCAACTCAGAGGGAAGATGGGACATTGATTCAACATCTTATTTGAGGGATGGCTCCTCTCACTCCTTCCATACTTACCTAAAATCTCAGCCTTGATTTTTGCTTTCAAATCTTTTTGCATTCTAAGTCCTGCTGTGGGAATTGAGCCCGCAACCTCCTGACTCACAGCTGAGTATGCTCCCAACTGAGCCACAATTAACACTTGAGAGAAAAAAAAAGCATGTAACTGACTATTTTGGAGGTTGGGCAATGCACAATATGAATGAGTCTTTTCTTATCATAAGTGGTGCTTCTCTCACACTGAGCAGCCACTGACAACAGGCACGAGGGGATAAATTTAATGATCTCCCAGCTCTACTTACCAATTCCACACCATCTGTAGTGCCTGAGTCAACAGTTCTGCCCAGTGCAATCAGCAGTTTTACAGCTTGGCTTATGAGGCCCTGGGAGATCATGCATTCACAGCTTACACCACTGCAACAGAGACAACAGACTGTTTTCATTAACTGATCCTCCTGGGTTCTCTTTAAAGACAAGGCACAGTGAAGCCTATCTTTAAGAAGTAGAGAGGATGACCATATACAAAAAGGGGCTACTCAATGACACAGAGAAACACAGGTTAACACCTCTCCTGAGGCCTCTCAATAAAACTGTTTTGTGGAGCTGGAGGATCCCCTGCAACTGTGCATCCAAAGTACAACTTCAGTGCGTATGCTGCATGGGTTTACTTCATGTGGTGGTCGGAATGTAAATTCAGTGTGAATCCAGATTCAGGTCCTAACTGTAATCAAACAGAGGTGAAACAACTCAATTTTTGCAAAGCTGGGATTAACAGACTTACAGTTAATGACATCAAGGAAAATGGGGATAACACGGGAATATTGCACGGAGGTAGATGATCAGCTAGAATCTAGAACGACATTGCCGTTTGAGGGGCTGAATGGTCTACTCCTCTCCCCTGTTGCCACATTTGGCAAGGAGCCTTGCTATTTCACTTTGGAGCCACTTAATGTTATCACACCCAAAGTTCAGTGATTTTATCATTATTAAATTTGGAGGATGAATGCAACCTCACAGCTTGCTTATAGCAGGGATGACTAGTGAGAATTAAAGGTCAAACCTGCAAAACAAGGGCATATGTAAATAATCAATTAATAAAAGATCATCATTTACAAATAAGGTTCAGTGCACTGCTGGATACTGTTCTGCTCAGTGAATGAGCAAAGAGACATTGCCCAGGACAATAGGAACAGTCTAAGAAGTTAATCACACCTGGGAAAACATTACTGCTATACTTGGAGAGGATATTTCTGAGAGATCATTGAGTGAAACTACAAGGCTGGAATTCAGAAATAGGAAGACAATGGTCACTTTGTTGGGATTGTACTATAGGCCCCTCTGCCAATAGTCAGTGGAAAACCGAAGAGCAAATATGTAGATAGATCTCAGATATATATATAGGAATAATAGAGTTGCAATGATAGGGGATTTTAACTTTCCAAATATAGACTGCGACTGCCGTAGTGCTAAGGGCTTGGACGGTGAGGTATTGGTTCAGGAAAATTTTCTTTATCAATATGTAGATGTACGTACCAGAGAAGGAGCAAAACTTGACCTTCTCTTGGGAAATAAGGCAGGGCAAGTGACTGAAGTGTTAGTGGAGGAACACTTTGGGGGCAGTGATCGTAATTCTATTAGTTTTAAAATAGTTACGCAGAAGGATAGGCCTTGTACAGAATTAAAGTTCTTAATTAGAGTATGGCAGCTTTTGACAGTATGAGACAGGAGCTTTCAGAAGTTGATGGGGGGTGTAGTCTGTTTGCAGGTAGAGGGATGGCTGGCAAGTAGGAGACTTTCAAAAGTGAGATAGCCAGTGTTCAGAGGCATTACGTTCCTGCTAGAGTGAAGGGTAAGGCTGGTAGGGGTAAGGAAGAATGGATAAATAAAGATATTGAGGCTCTGGTCAAGAATAAAAGAGGAGACATATGTTAGGTATAGACAACTGGAAGCAAGTGAATCTCTTGAGTATAAAGGGTGTGGGGCATTCTTAAGAGGGAAATCAGGAGGACAAAAAAGGGATATGAGATAGCCTTGGCAGATAAGGTTAAGGAGAATCCAAAGATATTCTACAAGTACATCAAGAGCAAAAGAGCAGCTAGGGAGAGAACAGGGCCCATAAAAGATCAACAAGGTCATCTATGCATGGAACCCCAGGAGATGGGAAGAGATATTAAACAAATATTTTATGGTAGTTTTAATGGGGAGAAACTCGGATAAACAAATATTGATATCTTGAAAACAATCCACATCACAGAAGAGGAGGTGCTGGAGGTCTTAAAAAAAATGTAATGGTGGATAAATCCTGGGACCTGATCAAGTGTATCCCAGGACATCGTAGGAAGTTAGGGAAGAAAGTGCACGACCCCTAGCAGAGATATTTGTATCATCTACAGCCACAGGTGAGGTGCCGGAGGACGGGAGGGTGGCTGATGTTGTGTCTTTATTTAAGAAAGGCTGTAAGGAGAAGTCTGGGAACTATAGACCTGTGAGTCCGACATTAATATTGAGTAAGTTGTGGGTAGGGATTCAGAGAGATAGGATTTACACGCATTGAGAGGGACAGGGACTGATTAGGGATAGTCAGTATGGCTTTGTGAGTGGGAAATCATGTCTCACAAACTTGATTGAGCTTTTTTTAGGATGTAACCAAAAAGACTGATGAGGGCAGAGTCTTGGATATTGTCTACACAGCCTTTGACAAGGTTCCTCATAGTAGACTAATTAATAAAGTTAGATCACATGGAATTCAGGGAGAGCTTGCCATTGGATACAGCATTGGCTTGACAGTAGGAGACAGAGGTGTTGGTGAGGATTGCTTTTTGGACTGGGGGGCCTGTGATCAGTGGTGTTCTGCAGGAATTGGTGCTGGGTCCACTGTTGTTTGTCATTTATATAAACGATTTGGATGACAATTTAGGAGGCACGGTTAGTAAGTTCGTGGATGACACCAAAACTTGTAGTACGGACGACAGGGAGGAAGGTTATCTAAGATTACGTAGGGATCTTGATCGATTGGACTAATGGGCTGAAGAGTGGCAGATGGAGTTTGACTTAGATAAATGCTAGGTATTGTATTTAGGTGAAGCAAACAAGGACAAGACTTATACAGTTAATGGCAAGGCGGTGGGTAGTGTTATCAAGCAGAGAGAGACCCAGGGATTCAGGTACATAGTTCTTTGAAAGTGCGTCACAGGTAGACAGGGTGGTTAAGAAGGCGTTTAACATGCCTGCCTTCATTGTTCAGCCCTTTGAGTATAGGAATTGAGACGTCATCGTGCGGTTGTACAAGATATTGGTGAGGTCTTTTTTGGAGTACTGTGTACAGTTCTGGTTGCCCTGCTACAGGAAGGATGTTATTAAATTGGAAAGGGTTTAGAAAAGATTTACCAAGATGTTGCTGGGACTGGAGGGTTTGAGTTATAGGGAGAAGCTGGATAGCCTGGATGTTTTTCACTGGAGTGTAGGAGGTTGAGGGGTGACCTTATGGGGGTTTATAAAATCATGAGAGGCATAGATAAGGTGAACAGCAAAGGTCTTTTCCCTAGGGTGAGTGAGTTCAAAACTAGGGGCATATTTTTTAAGGTGAGAGGAGACAGAATGGAAAGGGACCTGAGGGGCAACTTTTCCACACAGAGGGTGATTCATATGTGGAATGAACTGCCAGAGGAAGTGGTAGACACAGGTAAAGTTACAATATTTAAATGACATTTGGACAGGGATAGAAATAGGAAAGGTTTAGAGGGATATGGGCCAAGTGCAGGCAAGTGGGATTAGTTTAGTTTGGGAAACTTGGTCAGCGTGGATGAGTTGGATTAAAGGGTCTGTTTCTGACAATATAGCACAAAATAATTCATAGAACAACATAAGCATCTGTTGAATTTGTTTCAAAGACTCCAGCTATGGTTCTGTTGTGGGGGTCTTGTCTACTGGACAATAATCCGGAATATCCATCCTGAGAATTCAAAGCCCGCAGAGAATTTAATGCACTTTGAAAAAGTCTGAAAATAAATAAACTGCTCTCTGTAACAGTGACCATGCAAAAGGTAAAGTTGCCATAGTCTCACCAGAGCACGCAGCTACTCTCTCATTAGACTGAGACAACTGATGTTGGTTTAACCTGAGGGTCACCACGCCACAGGCAAGGGGAGAGGTTGAGAAGGAGAGTCCTTCATGGTAACCTCAGCCAGTATCGGAATCAAACCTATTGATTCCAAGATCCCTTTGGTGTCACTCTGCATTGCAAACCAGGCATCCAGCTAACTGACCCCCAAAGTGCAGCTCTCATTACAAACCGCATCTCATTCAGTAATGTCCCCTTTGGATAGGAGATCTTACATCCTTACCCAGTCTGGATCTAGATTTAACTCTAGTCCCACAACAACATGGTTGCCCTCTGAAGTGGCCTAAAAGGTCACCGAGATGGACAGAGCAACAAGGTCTGGGCAACAGTAGCGAGCCTTATTGGTGACACCCACAATGCAAGAATGGTTTATTTGGAAATTACATGTAGGTAAATATTTGAAAAGCTGGGGGAATGGGGTTAGCGCAGATAGCTGTGAGGTGATAGTTGGATGTTCGAGATGTTATCGGTGCGGCAATATTGCTATTGAGAATCTAAGTCAGCAAGAACACCATGAATAAAAACAATCTGCTGGAGAAACTCAGCAGGACAGGCAGCATTTGTGAAGAGAAAAACAGTTAATGCTGAAGTCCAATATAGCTCTTCCTCAGGCCTACAGTATATAAAGTGAGACAAGACAAGGACTCAATGATAGGGGTGTGGAACCCTGTTTAAATTATCACTGCCTTTTTACCTACTCACGATGTAATGCAGGCACCAGGCACATTCCACAGCGATCTGCATCCCAAATTCAGAATCCAGATCCAACAAATGAATCAAGCGTGCAGTCAGATTGGCTTCCAGAACCGCACTGATGAGAAAACAAATATATACGTCAGCAACAGCAAGAAAGCTGACTGCGAATGACAAAACTATGAATTTGTTGAAACCCACAGCTCCCAGGAGATCACCTGAGAGAATAAACTTGTATTAGAATGGCTCGTTTCATCATCTCGAAAAGTCACAATATGATTTATAGTCTCTCATGTACTGTCAAAAGGAAATGCAGATGCCAATTGCACACAGATAAATCCCAGAGACAGCAATCTAATAACTACAGAAAATCCATTTTAATGGAGTTTGTTGAGGGGTGAATATTGGGTAAGGACACCGGAGAGAAACACCCAAATTTTCTTTGCAACAGTGGCTTTCCAGGTAATTCCTCAGCACTGACCATCTGACAGTGGGGCGCTCCCTCAGCACTGTGCTGAGTTTATAGTCTAGGTTTTGTGCTCAAGTGTCTGAAGTGGTAACTGAATGCACAACATTACTATTGGTGGAGAGGTACTGAACAAAAACAAGGTTTGTTGTGAAACCCTTTTATCGTACCGATGGGCCGTACCCAAAATGTTGTGATTCCTGTTAAATTCAACCTAAAACACTATTAACTAAAAAAACAGCTTCTCATTGTATCAGCACTTTACAATTCTCCAGGCCTTTGTGTTACTCAGACAGTGCACTGTCTCCCTCTAGTGATGTGAAATCATCATAGCAACTGAATGACAAAGAACTACCGACTTAAAAGAAACTGGAAATACTTAAAACCATACGGGTCAGTCAGTACTTGCAAGCAGAAAACACTTGTTAAAATTTCTATGCACTCTTCAACAGAACTGAAGATTAACAGATAATAATCAAAAAAGTTTGCATTTTTGCCCCATATCTTTCATGGCCCAAAGACATTACAGCAAAAGAAGTAAATTTCTGAAGTATTGTAACGTGAGAAAAATGGCAGCCAATTTGGGAACAGTAAGATTCCCACAGACAGAGATTCTGTGCAAATTCGGCTGACTTAATAAACTTCTGAGGAGGATAAATAATGACTCTTTTTTTCAAAATAATGAGACGGAATCTTAGATTCTCTGCAAATTAGTGTCTTTCATCTTTACACTTACACAAAGCCTTTACACAAAGGCCACTCAGCCCCTCCAGCCTGCTTGATATGATCATGACTGTTCCAACTGTAGCTCCAACTCCCACTTTCCTGTCTGCCCCCATGACTCTTTGACTCCTTTATTGATCAAAAATCTAACTCAGGTCTTGAAAATATTCAATAATCGTCTCCACTGCTCCCTACTGAAAAGAATTCCACAGATTAATGATCCTCAGAGATTTTTCTTCTCCTGATCTCAGTCTTAAATGGGAGTTTCAAGGAGTTTGAGATTGGAGCTTGAAATGGGAATAACTAGATGAAGAATGACCACCATCTAGTTTGGTTTCTACCGTCCTGATATTTGCATGACGCAACAATGGAACTGATTATCGGGGCATCCAGTTTCTCTCAATTAGACTACAGTAGACCTGCAAGAGGACAGATAATCCCCAGTGATGGAAAGCGTTAGGGAACCACTATACACCCACCATCTCTCAAATTTGACTTTAGCCCACATCAATGTGCAAGCAGCTAATTTTGTACAGGAAGCAGCATTGGTGAGCAGCCCCTTTGACTCCATATGAAGCCACAGCACTGTATTCATTATGGTCCACAGATATTTATTTTTACATGGAATGTCCAACACAGTGTCAGGTCATTCAGCCCAAATGGCCAATGTTGATGTGAAAGCTCTATATGAGTTTTTTTCCACCTCCTCTGCTCCCCAGTTTGAGTGTATCCTTTTATTTCTTTCTCTTCTGTGTGCTTGCTTAACCTCCCCTAGATTTCGTATTCTACGTGGTTGATAACATATAAACAAACAGAAGAATGTAAACATCTCTAGTCAGGCCCGCGTCTTGGGACTACCACACAAAAAGCTTGGGACTGCCTTCAGGCAATTAAAGCCTGTACCCCCAGCTTGAAATGCTTTATTCCAACATGATTCACTCTCGTCTGTTTTCTTCGACTAAATTCTACTTCCGTTGTAGTCTCCTTTTATAATGGAACTTTGTGCCACCTAAGCATTATAATTCCAGAATGCATTTGATCATCGTGTCTAAATTGCTTGGATGGTGAAGATCAACGTTATTGGGAACAGATCAGAAATCAGTGCATCAACACAAAAGACTTAGAAAAGAAAGTGAGTGTCGACAAGTCCAAATTATAAACAAGAAACCATTGTTGCGGGAGACAACAGTGTGACAATGTGATGAAGCTGGTTAAAGAACTGGTAGATTTTCTGAAATAGAGACTTTGCATAGATTTAATCAACCTAATTGCGAACATGTTTTCAAGAAGAACGGAATTATCCCAATTAAATGCCACCCAGTAATGGCACCGGGAGAAAGGCTTGGAATGGGGTGACTTGTAGTAAAGTATGTATTTAAAGGGAAACTGGCTAGTGGGAGGAAAAAGAATTATTCTGATAACTGATACAAGGATAAATCGTGAAAAGTGGGAGAAGGCTCATGTGTTGAAAAATATCCAGCAAAGACCAGCGAGGTTGAATAGCTTGGTTCTGTGCTGTAAGTGTTACATTAATCCTACCAGAGTTTTAGAGTGAAACAGACACGCATTCATCCTGCATCCAGAACTTACAGACTTTAGCTGGGTGCTAACTTACGGGATAATCTTCTCTCCTGCTTCCTTCGCCTGCAGCATTTGAGACAGCGAATAAGCCGTAGCCTCCACCACAGCTCCATGAGGTGACTGAAAGAGACAGATAAGGCTCTAGAAACACATTACATTTACATACTGGTTCTTAGAGGGAAAAAAAACAGCCCAAGGCACCTGGCATTCAGGCAGATAGAAAGGGACAGGCATTAATTTGGAAAAATGTTTTGAATTTGAGCAAAACACCAAGAGGATTAAGATAGGAGAAAGCAGTTCTGTTTTTCTAGGGTATTACAACCGTCATAAGACCTATAACAGCTTAAGCAGAAATCCAAACTTCATGTTATCACCAGAAAGAATGACATGGCGAAATTTTACAATTGAAAACTTTCAATGTATCAATGACTAAAACATAGAATACTTAATTCAATTTAAATTATTTACAGAATGTTATCTTTAAACAATTGAAAAGAATTTGCCCATTTCTACTTTAAGGACAACCAAAACTCCCAATATTAATACATTAGTCAGCCTCTTAAGTAGGCAATCATTCTCTTGAATCTATCCAAAATGTGACATAACTCCCAAGGGTTTACTTCTGTTTTTTTTCCCCCTTTCCCGATACTATTTTCCACCTTGAGCGTGTTCCTGGAGAATGGTGCCTCTACCTTCAGCTAGCTGAACCCTCTAGCCTCACCTTTACACCATCACAAACTAGATTTTCAAACTGTGTGCAAATTCCCACCTCTATTCTGTGTTTTGAACAAGAAAGCCAGCATTTTCTCTGCTTAACCTTGCCAACACCCAATTGCTTGCTCTCCCCTTCTTAGTCATTTATTGATCTTGAAGGCCAGAACAGGAATTCCTCCTCTGTCTGAGGAGGAATCTCTGGGTTGAGAGGGAAGTCTGTAATCTGATCTGAAAAGGATCTACTCGACCCGCAACAGCAGCTGAGCACTTCCTGCACATGGGTAAAGGCAATTTCAGTCACAGAAAGAGGAAGATACTTTTCCATGTAGGAGGTGTTTAGTAACTCATTTACAAGACAAACACCATAAATCAAGTTTGGAGTTGCAAATGGAAACTTGATTTCAGGAGTACACAATAAAAGAATGTTCAGATTAACTATTTCCAAAAATATTCTGTTCATTAGTCAACCACTATTAAAAGTTCTCAGAAGTACACTCAGGTATTGTTTCTTTAAGTCTTTTTGGAAATGCTAACAAAACGACTTTGAGAATCACATATAGCTGGCTTCCAAATTCAGTAGGTAATAGGGAAGGCAAACGGAATGATGGTCTTTATTTTAAAGGGAATGGAGTATAAAGCTAGGGAGGTTTTGCTGAAACTACACAAGGCACTAGACAGACCACAACTGGACTACTGTGAACAGTTCTGGACCCCTTATCTAAGCAAAAACATTTTGGCATTAGAGGCAGTCCAGAGAAGGCTCAGTCGGCTGATACCTGATATGGAGGAACTGTCCTTTGAGAATAGGTTGTGTAGCTTGAGTCTGTACTCATTGGAATATAGAAAAATGAGAGGCAGTCTTATTGAAACATACACAATTCTTAGGGGGCTTGACAGGCTAAATACTGAGAGTATGTTTCCCCTTGTGGGAAAGTCTAAGAACAGAGGGCATAGTTTCAGAATAAGGAATCGTCCATTTAAGATAGAGATGAGGAAAAATTTCTCTGTGGAACTCTTTAACATAGTAGGTTATTGAGGCTGGATTGTTAAATATTTTAAAGGCTGAAATAGATGGATTTTTAATCTGTAAGGGAATCAAGAGTTATGGGGAAAAGGGAAGAAAAAGTGGAGTTGTGGATTATCAAATCAGTCATGATCTTTGAATGACAGAGCAGGCTCGATGGACTGAATGGTCTACTTCTATTCCTACGTCTAATGGTCTTCACTGATCCTGACATCTCTCCAGTTGGCAACGGGAGTTGGTGTTCTCCAAACAGTTTTTTTACCCCTCCGTAGCAAAAGGAAAAACATTGGCACTGTATCCAAAGTAGAAATGTTAATCAGTAGCCTCTAACCATCACTGCTTTTCACCTTCAAAACAAAGGGACAGGTTCCAGCCTGATTATTTATGACTTGATACTGATAACATTTTTTCTGGGTTTTAGGAGACTTGCAGTCTCTTAATTGTGGACATAGCTGTCATTGTACCCAGGTGGCTACACACGGCAACTTCATTCAATAACACAAAGTAAACCTTTTTCCTATCAGACAAGCTCCAGCATAGGTCCATGTACATCTCACTTAAACTACATTTGAAGAGACAGTTCCAAACCATAATAATCTTATAAACCAAAAGATTACAGGAATACAGAGTACTGGGCTAATGGTAAGATTCTTGGTAGTGTGGATGAGCAGAAAGACCTCAGTGTCCATGTGCATAGATCACTGAAAGTTGCCACCCAGGTTGATAGCGCTGTTAAGAAGGCATACAGTATGTTAGGTTTTATTGGTAGAGGGATTGAGTTTCGGAGCCATCAGGTCATGTTGCAGCTGTACAAAACTCTGGTGCGGCCGCACTTGGAGTATTGCGTACAGTTCTGGTCACCGCATTATAGGAAGGATGTGGAAGCATTGGAAAGGGTGCAGAGGAGATTTACCAGGATGTTGCCTGGTATGGAGGGAAGGTCTTATGAGGAAAGGCTGAGGGTCTTGAGGCTGTTTTCGTTAGAGGGAAGAAGGTTAAGAGGTGACTTGATAGAGACATACAAGATGATCAGAGGATTAGGCAGGGTGGACAGTGGGAGCCTTTTTCCTCGGATGGTGATGGCTAGCACGAGGGGACATAGCTTTAAATTGAAGGGTGATAGATATAGGACAGATGTCATAGGTAGGTTCTTTACTCAGAGAGTAGTAAGGGCATGGAATGCCCTGCCTGCAAAAATAGTAGACTCGCCAACTTTAAGGGCATTTAAATGGTCATTGGATAAACATATGGATGATAATGGAATAGTTTAGGTTAGATGGGCTTCAGATTGGTTTCACAGGTCGGCACAACATGGAGGGCCGAAGGGCCTGTACTGCGCTGTAATGTTCTATGTTCTATGTAGTCTTAACATACAATAATGTATCTGCATACTTGCAACAAGAGCTGTTCAATACTGTGGGATGCCCCATAGTGCAGTACAGCCATTGAAGTACTTCTTAAGTATTATCACTGATAAACATTAAGAGGTAACTTTTCCTTTGTACTTGTGTAAAAACAAAGGAAAACAAAAAAAAAAGGAAGATTATGGAAGGCAAAAATGACAAAAGGGATGATGGAGCAAGGTGAAAGGAGATATGAATGGGCAAGTAAACAGAAAAAAAAAGACAGACTGAGCTATAAATAGGAAAATCCAAATCATTAATAATGACTTGTGTCTGAAAAACAAGAGCAGTGGTTATGCTCTGAAATTGCTACATTAAATTCACATCACCAATACCAATTGTTTGTTCCTTTATGCACCCATTTCCCTCTGTATGCGCTGGCTGTTACACTGATCCCCTTTAACACTCATTCAAACAGAAAAGATAACGCCTCGGACAGTGCAGCATTCCATCAGTAGCAATGTGCCCTCCAACTGTTTTTCTGTAACTTATTACACAAAAGAATCTTAAAATTTTATGCACTATCACTTAAAGGCATTGAGTTGGACACAAGTGTGCACAGTAGCCTTTGGTTGCTGCTCAGTATTTTTGAGGGGGAAAGTTGATCAGTACTGGATAGAGTGTCAACCTAAACCATGCTTTCAAGTCCATTGCACAAAGCTACAATCTGCTAGCTTAGAGGTAAGACTGCCATCAACTGCGTGAATTAATCCAATACAAGGGAGACTCTGCAGGGCGCTGATCTCCTGGTTGTTCATTTAACCAGAAAACAAATTCAACTAGATATGTGAGCTGCAGCTGGGTTGACAACTTTCCTCAGTTGTGGGTTCAGTTCCAAAGTCCTGAGCACAATATGTAGACTGGCATTTCCAGTACAATGCCCAAAAAGCCCTGCATTGTGGAGGTGCCACTGTTTTGAAGGAGACTTTAGATTGAATCTTGTCTTCCCTCCCAAGTGGACCTAAAAGGTACCATGGCACCATTTTGAAAAGGTGCAGTGAATTCTAGAACATATTTACTCTTAGATGAATGCTAAAGAGCAGATTATCTAGTAATTGTTGTTTGTGAGTGTTTACAGTGTAAATTGGCTGCCATGTTTCCTATATTACAGCAATGACCACACTTCAAAAAATACTTAGTTGGCAGTAAAACACTTTGGGGCATCTGACGTCACAAAAAGCAGTATAAAAATAAATTCTTATTTTTAACAGTATGACTGTAGTGATAGCCTAAAACATCTTCCAAATGTGTGGGAAAAAAGCCCACAAAAACTAACACATGCTCAGGGCTCCCTATTCAAATTAATAAAAATGCCCAGTTACCCATGAAGGTGCAGTAAGGACGGGATTCTTTTACCACAACACAAAAGAACAACAATGCCAGAAAGTCAACAAACGTATGCAGCAAAATATGAAATGCAGAGTTCTTCAGGTGCAAGACTTGCAACAGCTGGGTCCTGGAGAGTGAAAACAGATGTTCTTTTCAGACCTTAGACTCCAGTCTAAATACATGCCTAGTTATTTCAGTAATGAATGCAGCGCTGAATAAAATAACGGTTTCTCGCTCAGTTATGCTAATGAGTAAGATTTGGCAATTATATCTCACCTGCAGACAGACTGACAAAGCTTGGATCACTCCTTGCACCAGAAGCTGACTCCGAACTGCTTCATTCTCAGCTGCCAGGTTGCCTAGTATGTACAGGCACAGCTCCTGAAACAGAGCAACCAGAAAAGAATCTGCATATTTCCACAGCTTTAAGCAGCCAAAATAATTTGTAAAGATCAGCTCAGAAACAGAAGATAAATTCTGTACCAGGCCCTTCGATGGACCAGCTGCCAAATTCAATTCCCAGGGTGGGACTGAAGCACCCATTACAATGCCCACCACAAGCACTGCTCACATACCAGACAATTAAATATTGGCAGTAAAAGCACGCAGTTTAAGTTTTCTAGGCCGTGAGGGGCTTGACTGCCATGTGGAGAATAATATTTGCAGCAATAAAGAATGGGTCATGGTCCATTGGACTGTGCGCTCTGGGACTTAAACCCCAAAATCCCTTAGTGAGCGACGGCTGATGCCTTAAAATATGGTACTGCTCACCGTGAACTTGGCGCTCTGGCCTGAAAGATACGTCAGGAGGTAGGGTGTTGCTGGTAAACAGACAAGCGAGACGCTGGGATCATCAGAGTGGGAGAGTTCGAGCAAACACTGTGCAGCCTCAAGTTGAACTGATGTCAGGTTGCTGGTGAAGAGGCCGTTAAGGACATGGATACTGTTTTCGAACCTACACAAGGTGCAGAAAATATCATGGAGTTTGTGTTTCAGAGAGCTCTGGGTTTTAGCAGGCTCTACAGCGGTTATGATTTTCAGAATGGTTTACAGATGAAAAGATGAATTAATCATGCAAACATTCGTTAAAGAATATGATACAGTTGGGATTATCGAGAAAAGGCTGCAGGGAACTGAATATCCTGAGGTATTCAGCTTTTAGAAAGGACAGTCAAAAAGAAAAAGGAGGTGGGGTAGCATTGCTGTTAAAGAGTAATAGCGAGGGAGAACATGAGCTTTGAGAAGTGGAATCTGTGTGGGTAGAGCTGTATGGAACTATCAAGGGGTAGAAAACAATATTGGGGGTTGTGTATAAACCATCAAACTGTAGTAGTAACATTGGGGAAAGCACTGAACAGGAATTTAGAGATGCAAGCAACAAATGTACACTCTGAGTGACTTTAGTCTGCACACAGCTAGAGAAGGTAATCAGTAACAATACCGTACAGGAGGAATTTCTGGAGTGTGTACAGGATGGGTTTATTAATACACTGAGGAACCAACTAGAGAATATCCTAGACTAGGTACCATGTAATGAGACAGGAATACTTAGCAATCTAGCTGTGTGAGTAAGTGCAACAATTGTTCATTCCTGTCTGGCACAAAATGAAATGGGAAAGGGGGCCTGACCAAGGCTAACAAGGGAAATTAAGGATAGTATAAGGTCCAAGGAAGGGTCATACAAATTAACCAAAAAAGCAACATACCTGAGGACTGGGAGCAGTTTAGATTTCAATAAGGAAGGACAAAAGGATTAAGAGGGGGGAAAAAAAAGGAGAGTAAGCTTGCAAGGAACCTACAAACTAGTTGCGAAAGCAAATACAAGTACGTGAAGAGAAAAGAATTAGTGAGGATAAATATCGGTCCCTTAGTCATAAACAGGGGAAGTTATAATGGGGAACAAAGAGTTGGTAGAACAATTAAATACACACTTCAGTTCTGTCTTCACAAAGGAGGAAAAAAAAACTCCAAAAATTTTGAGGAACACAGGGTCCAGTGAGAGGGAGGAACTGAAGGAAATCAGTACAAGTAGGGAAATGTTATTGGGGAAATTAATGGGTTTAAAGGCCGATAAAACCTCGGGACCTGACAATCTGCATCTCAGAGCACTTAAAGAAGTGGGCCTAGAAATAGTGGATGTATTGGTGACCATCTTTCAAGATTCTATAGGCTCTGGAATAGTTCCTACGGATTGAAGGATAGCTAATGTACCCCATTATTTATACAAGGAGATAGACAGAAAATGGAATTATGGATCGGTTAGCCTGACATTGTAAGTGGGGAAAATGCTAGAGTCCATTATAAAAGTTTTAATAGCAGAGTACTTAGAAAACAGTGACAGGATCAGCCAGAGTCAACATGGATTTACAAAGGGGAGATCATGCTTGACAAATCTGGAATTTTGCGAGGATGTGACTAGTAGAGTTGATGGGGGAGTTGTTGAGGCGGGGGGGAACGGCAGTGGATGTGGTTTATTTGGACTTTAAGATGGTTTTCATCAGCTCCCACCTGAGAAATTAGCATATAAAACTAAAGTGCACGGGACTGGGTAGTGTTCTGACATGGATAAAGAACTGGTTGGTAGACAGGAAACAAAGAGTATGAATACACAGGTCTGTTTCTGAGTGGCAGCCAGTGACTCATGGGGTATCACAAGGACCAGGATTTGGACTCAAATTCACAATATAGATATATAAATGACAATTAGATGAGGGACCTAAATGTAGTATCCCCAAGTCTGCAGATCACACAAAGCTGGGTGGGAGGGCAAGCTGTGAGTAGGATGCAGTGTGATTTGGACAAGTTGAGCGAGTGGACAAATGCATGACTGATGTAATATACTGTGAATAAATGTGAGGTATTCAGTTTGGTAGCAAAACAGGCAGGCAGATTATTACCTAAATGGTGACAGATTGGGAAAGGGGGAAGTGCAATAACACCTGGATGTTCATGTACACCAGTTACTGAAAGTAAGCATGCCGGTCGTGGTGAGGGCAGCAAATGGATGTTGCACTTCATAGAGAGAGGATTCAAATACAGGAACAGGGAAGTCTTGCTGCAATTGTACAGGGTCTTGGTGAGACCACACCTGGAGTACTGTTTGGGTCTCCTTATCGAAGGATATATGTTCTGGCAGGACTGACATATGAAGGGAGGCTAGATTGGTTAGAAATATAGTCACTGGAATTTAGAAGAATGAGGGGACATGTCATAGAAACCTATAAAATTCTAATATGACCAGACAGGATCAATGCAGGAAGGATATTCCCAATGAATGGACAGTCCAAAACCAGGGGTCACAGTTTAAGGACACAAGGTAGGCCATTGAGGACCGAGATAAGGAGAAATGTCTGCACCCAGAGTGGTGAGCCTATGGAGTTTTCTATCACAGAAAGTGGTTGGCGCCATAACACTGAATGTTTTCAAGAAGAAGTTAGAAATAGTTCTCAGGGCTAAAGGAATCAAAGAGAAGGATAAAGCACGAACAGGGGATTTACTTGAATGATCAATCGTGATCATTTGAATGGCTCCTATAATTATATGTTTCTATGTGTTATAAGAATTAAATTATTTCCCATTTTATCATTTTCCCATCATTATCACACCTTCACAGGTCATCAACTGTGGCAAAATAGAGTTTTTCCCAAATTCCAAAGGGGGTCCCACTTTATTCCACTGGATAGCTAGTAACCTCAGAATGGGGATAACAATTTAATGCCAATGTACGCTGCTCCAGACAGTCTGTACTTGCATTTAGATGGTGCCTTAAAGCTGGGCTACTCTTCAGGTGCCTGAATTATTGGAGACACAGACATACAACTAAAGCTGTATGTTGGGTCTTTGTGGGAATTGTTTGACAAGTGTCAAATTTCAATGGAGAATTTCTCTGCTCTCTGGGAACCTCCTGATGTCTCAGGCTGCTTTTGTTTTGTATACACCAAATCCTCACTACCTGCAGGGCATAGGGGGCACAGACCTCCCCTAGGATTACAAAATATGTGGATAACGCTATCATATAACTCCAGGTGCAGCGAAGGACCCAGTAGTTCCAAACAGATGAGTCTATCAGGACAAATTGATGGGACTGTGGGATGATCTTGCGAGTACACGGATCCATGGATAGGCAATCCATACATAAGGAGTGAGCATATTAGTTCCTTAGATGAGGGCATCACTGGCTAGGCCAGCATTCACTGCCTATCCCTAATTGCCCAGAGGGCAGTTAAGAGATAACCACATTGCTGTGGGCTGTACCTCACATTGAGGCCAGATCAGGTTCAGAAGGCAAATTTCCCTCCCTAAAGAACACAAGTAAACCAGATGGTTTTCTTTAAAAGACAACTGACAGTGATTACACGGTCACCATTATGGTAGCTTTTCAAACTAGATTTTTATTGAATTCAAATTTCACAATTTCCATGGTGGGATTCGAACCCATGCCCTGATAGTTTATTAATCCAGTGATATTACTATTACATCACCACCTCCCTCTCACAGTTAGAGTTGGAGTTAGGGAATTTGAACAGTTCTGTGCAACTCACGTGGTTAGTAACTTAATATCAGACAGATTAAAACTCAGTCTAACACCTCAGTAATCAAGAAACCCGAAACCTCACCTCCATCACCCCCACTGTTCCCCATTGCACCCTCCAATACATACATGCACCCCAACTTGATGAATTTCCACAAAGGATGCTACACTGTGAAAAGCTGGATCAGAAGGCCCAGGAAAAAAGGCACAGCAGGATCAATTTGGGGGAATTTGTAAAGCAGAGGCAATCTGACCATAACTGCAGATGCCTGGGAGATCTGGTCTGTAAAGCTCCAAGTTCACAGAACTGATCATCAAACAGAATGTGACACCAAGCCACATATGGCAGCATTAGGACAAACAACCACAAACTTGACCAAAGTGGCAGGAGCATCAGAGAGGTACAGCAGGAAGGTACAGAGGTTCAGGAACGGTATTCTACAGCTTAAGTACGATCATAAAGCACAAGAGGCCAGAACCGGAGGAGCACAGAGATCTGAGTGTTTTATAAGGTTACAGATTGAGAGCAATGATACTATGAAGGGATTTTAAAACAAGGATGAACCTTTTAAAATCTACACCCTAATATGAGACAGCACAGAAGATAGCTAATCATCCGTCATGCTTTCACTAGTGGAAATCAATGAAGAGCTATCCACCCACTAAGACTTAAACTGAAATGACCCAAACACAGTGCATATGGATGCCACAAGAGTCAGGGCTGGATGTCAATCTCAGATTCATGAAATGAAAACTCAGTTAAACACACTGAACCACTTAGTCTCCCAGTACTGCTTTTTCCTGCTAGGCAGCTGTTACATTTCACTTGATAGCAAACCAAGATGAAAAGGTTAATTGATAAACTTGCTGAGGTCCAAATGTGGCAGACAGCACCAAACTGACAAATTCAAAATCGATAAAGCTGTTCATATGTGGGCTGCCACTGGGCAAGGGAAAATGAGCACAAATAGATTGTTCACAGAAAGCCAAATTATGTCTTGCAGGGAATGGAATTTGAAACTCGAAATTAGTTTGTTCTTCTTCATGACTTCAGTTCCACACTGCATGGCTCGGTCAAGATTATCTGAATTTGCCCAGTAAGAATATTGGTTTTATGAAGAAGGCTGCTCAACAGTCCATTTCAGTGCCAAACGAGAGAGGTCACAGCGTGACTTCGACCATATCAACAGAAAACAAACAAAGGAAAACAATGACAAGGATTTTAGTGAAGAAACTGCAGTTGGCTGACACTGCAAGTGAGTGGATTGTGGATAAAAAATACAAATGTTATGAAACTGCCAGTACCTGACAAAAATCTGCTGTGCCTCCTTCAGTTGGAGCACTCGACGTAGACAGCGTAAAGCAGCAAGACGATCATCTGATCCATGCTGAATCCTCTGGTACAGCTGCAAAACCTACGACAGGTCAGAGGTTCAATATGTTCAGGAGCCAGTTACAATCTCAAATTATAGATGCTCTCTTAAAATATCTACCATTAAGCAGGACATAATGTGGAGGTTCCCGTGTTGGACAAGGTCAGAAATCACATGACACCAGGTTGTAGTCCAACAGGTTTAGTTGAAAACACAATGTTTTGGAGCGTCACCCCTTCGTTAGGTGAATTGAGAAAGAAACACAGAATACAAAATTCATACGTAAAATATCAAAGGGTCATACAACTGATGAGGATGTATTAACCAAACCTAAGATGCTGCTAAATTTTTAATCAGTTAGAAGATTTTAGTTGATTAATATGTATATGTAAATCCCTGAATTTCTGTCGGGTTACTGCCCTGAGAGAACTAAAGGTTTTATCAGTACCAGGACAGATGTGTGTTTGGACAGACTGCATCTAACCTCCTCCTGAGTAACCGAAGTCTCTCTGATCTCCATGTTCTCGCCATCATCCTGCAGACCCCTCGGCAATCTTTTGCTGATCAGCTGCTTTTCCTTGCGTGCTTTCCTCAGAGCTGCACAGAGAAAGGAGGTTCCAGGTAACTTTAAAATCACGTGTCACAAGACGAATTTAGTAAAACAGTTATGTAGGATCAGTTTAAAAGTCTGCAGAGAAATTATGCAAGTTCATTAACCTTACTGGCACCAATACAACAGAGAGCTTTTCACAATGTGCTAACAAACATTATGTGCTGCACTTAAGTAATTGAGAAAATGTAAACAGATAATAATTTAAAAATATACTAAAAGTGCAGGAGCAAACAATGCAAACAGAAATGGGTAAAAAGTTATAGAATCCGTACAGCGCAGAAGCAGGCCATTTGGCCCATCGAGTCCATACTGACCCTCCAAAGAGTATCCCACCCAGTCCCACCCCTTACCCGATCCCTGTATTTCCCACCTTAGACACTATAGGCAATTTAACATAGCCAATCCACTTAAACTGCACATCTTTGGACTGGGGGAGGAAACCGGAGCACTCAGTGGAAACCCACGGAAACAGTGCAAACTCCACACAGTCACCCGAGGCTAGAATCGAACTCAGGCTCCTGGCACAGTGTGAGGCAGCAATGCTAATCACTGAGCCACCATGCCGCCCCACAAAATTTACAGCTCAGAAGCAAAAGACCATTTGGTCCAACATGGATGCTCATGGTCCACATGAATCTCCTCTTACCTCTTTTGTATCATTTAACCCACATCCTTTATAAATTTCTGGGGTCATTTAGCTCCTTTGGCTGGCCAGCTGCTTTGCAACGCAGAATGACAGCAACAGCATGGGTTTGATTCCTGCAATGGCCGAGGTTATCACGAAGGAATCTCCTTCTCAACCTCACCCCTCGCCCGAGGCATAGTAACCCTCAGGTTAAACTCACCACCAATTATTTCTCTCTAACAAGAGAGCAGTCTATGGTTCACTATGACTATAGCAATCTTACTGTTATAAGTTTCAGTAAGATTCCCATCATTTCATTATCAAGCTTCCCCATAAATCCTTCTGTACTATTCAGCCCTGTGGAAGTGAGTTCCACATTTTAATCATGCTCTGGATAATGCTCGAACTTCCTTTGGATTTACTAAAAACTATTTTGTAACAACAAGAGACATGGTCAGGAACAGGCACATGGGAGGTCTAGAAACCAAACTGTATCTACTTTAATGTGAGAAGCTTGACTGGTAAGGCGGATGAACTTAGAGCATTGATCAGCACTTGGGAATATGATATTGTTGCAATCATTAAGACATGGTTGAAGGAAGGATGGGACTTGCAGCTTAATATTGCAGGTACAGAAGTTTCAGGCATGATAGTCCGGGAAGCAAGAGAGATTGGGGGCATTGCATTATTGATAAAGGAAACCATCACTGCTATATTGAGGGAGCACATCCTAGAAGGCCTTCAAATGAGGACATCTGGGTAAAGCTTAGAAATAAAAAAGGACAATTATCTTGCTGTGATTATGCTATAGGCCTCCCACCACTCAGAGCGTGACGAGAAACAGACATGTAAGCAAATCACATAAAGGGGAGAGAGAAAGAGGGTTACAGTTGTAGGGGACTTCAACTTTGCTAACATTAACTGGGATCACCCTACAGTGAAAGGATTAGATGGGGGTTGAATTTTTAAAGCACGTCTAGAAGAGTTTTTTAACACCAGTATGTAGATAGTCCGACTAGAGATGGGGCAGTGCCAGATTGAATCTTAGGGAATGAAGATGGTCAAGTGGTTGAAGTTTCAGTTGGTGAGTATTTTGGGGATTGACCATAATTCTGTAAGTTTCAAAGTTATTCTGGAAAGGGATAAGGATAGTGTAGAAGTTAAGTGTCTAAATTGGGGAAGGCCAATTTCAATAACATTAGACAGAATTTGGCAAATATAGACTGGGGGGAGCTGCTTGCAGTTAAATCTACTTTTGGAAAGTAGGAGTCTTTTAAAGGTAGTATTGTAAGAATTCAGGGCCAGCATGCTCCTTTAAGAGTGAAAGGTATGGGCAGCAAATCCAGCGAATCTTGGATGTCAAGGGTTTAACAGAGAAAAAAAGCGTATGTCAAGTAGAGTGCATTAAAAACAGGGAGGTCCTTCAAAAACTATAGCGAGTGAAGGAGGTTGCTTAAAAAGGAGATTACGAGACAAAGGAGAGCCACAAAATATCTTTTGCAGATAGGATCAAGGAACACCCCCAAGGCTTTTTCTAATTATACTATTAGTAATAGGATTACCAGAGAAAGAATGGGACCTATTAGAGGCCAAAGGGGAAACTTGTGCATGCAGCCAGTGGATGTGGGTGAAGTTTTAACTTGATACTTCTCATCTGTATTGACAGAAAGGAAAGACATTGTAGCCAGAGATATCAGTTGGGATGGTGAGGTCCTAACACAGATAATAATGAGGAGATATTAGATGTTTTAGGGGGCATACAGATGTACAAATCCCCAGGTCCAGGCAGCTACGAAAGGCAATGCTGGCTGTGCTGGGTCCCTGGCTGATATATTTAATACTTGCTGGCCCTGGCGAAGTGCCAGTTGACTGGAGGATAGCCAATGTGGTTGCTTAGTTCAAGAATGACAACAGGGCTAGTGTGGTAGGGAAATCAGTGGTAGGGAAATTACTGGAAAAAATTCTGAAGGACAAGATTAATCAATTCTTGGAAAGGCGGGGACTAATCAGGGCTAATCAGCACAGATTTGTTAGAGGGAGATCCTGTCTGACAAATTTTATTGATTTTTTAAAGAAGATGACTAAATATATTGATGAGGGTGATGCGATTGATGTGGTTTATATGGTCTTCAGTAAAGCCTTTGACAAGGTCCCACATGGTAGGCTGGTCCAAAAGGTCCAAATTACTAAATCTGCAGATGACATGAAAATTGAGGGTGTTGTTGATAGTGAGGAGGATGGACTCAGGCATCTAGTCTGATATGGATCAGCTGGTAAATTGGCCAGAGCAATGGCAGATGGAATTTATTCCCAATAAGCGAAAGGTGACATGTTTTGGGAGATCCAAAAAGTGAAAGATATACACAATGAATGGTAGGCCCATAGGGAGTACGAGGGAATAAAAGGACCTTGGTGTACAAGTTCACAGATCGCTCAACGAATCAGCACAAGTTGACAGGGCGGTGAAGAAAACAATCAGGATGCTTGTCATCATTAGCCACATTATAGAATATAGGAGCAAGGAAGTCTGGTTACAACTTTATAAAACACTGGTTAGGCAAAGATGGATTACTGTGTGCAGTATGGTGGCCACACTATCAGAAGGATGTGATTGCACTGGAAAAGGTGCAGAGATTCACCAGGATGTGACCTGGGATGAAAAGTCTCAATTATAAGGACAACTGGATAAGCTGGGCTTGTCTTTTTTTGGAGCAGAGGAGGTTAAGGGGGATCTGATTGAGGGATACAAAATTATGAGATGCACAGACAGAGTAGATCGTGAGAGTTTCTTCTCCACAGCAGACGTGTCTAAGACCACAGGGCATAAGTTTAAGGTGAGTAGTAAATGGTTTAGAGAAGATCTGAAAAATATTTTATCATTCAGAGGGTGGAAGATATATACGATGTGCCACCTGAGAGGGTTGGGGAGGCAGGTACCCTTGCAACATTTAAGAAGCATCTGGATGAGTACTTAAAATGCCAGAGTATAGCAGAATATAGATGAAATGCATGTAAATGTGATTAGCGTAGTTTGGTGCTTGTTCGTTGGCACAGACATGCTGTATGACTCTAAAACAACAGATCAGAGGAAAGGAATAAGGACCAAGTAAGTCATCTCCTGACTCTCCAAATCCTGTCCACCATCTACAAGGCACAAGTCATGAATGCGATCCAATATTCCCAACTTGCCCAAGTGAGTGCAGCTCCAACAACACACAAAAACCTTCACAGCCTCCAGGACAAAGTAGCCTACCTGCTTGGCATCACTTCCACAAATATTCACTCCCTCCACCACTGATGCTCAGTAGCAGTGAAGAAATTCATCAAAGATCCTTAGACACCAACATCGAAATCCACAACCGCTTCCACCTCGAAAGAGGCATGGGAACACCATCATCTGCAAGTTCCCCTCCAAGCCACTCACCATCCTGACTTGGAAATATACCACTGTTCCTTCAGTGTCACTGGGTCGAGGTCCTGGAACTCCCTCCCTTATGGCTTGTAGGTCTACTTTCAACACATGGACCACAGCAATTCAAGAAGGCAGCTCACCAACCTCTGCCCCAGGACAATTAACGATGGTCAATAAATGCTGGCCAGCCAATGAAACCCGCATCCCATAAGTGATTAAAAAACATAACTGAGGATGGGCACTTGTCCCACTCTAATACGCTCGCCCCCTTCTTTCCCCCAGACCCAATGAGGCATGTACGTAACTCCATCCCAGCTACTTTGAAGAGGGAGGAAGTCACACATTTCCTTCCCACTCAATCATGAAGATGACCTTAGCCCCCTCATTGGGGAAGGGGGAATTTTCCCTCTCCTTTCCTTTCCTTTCCTTCCTCCTCCTCCTCCTCCTCCTCCTCCTCCCCTGCACCTCCCTCCCTCACACACCTCCTCTTCGTCCCTCCTTACCCGACTCATGCAGCCGCCTCTTGGCTTTAATATCCTCCACGCCGCAAGCTCGGTTCCGGCTCCGGATCATGTCCGCGGTCCCTGGCTGGAGACACTCACCGTGGCCCAGGGGCTGATCCTCTCACATACACAGCACAAACCCGAGCTTCGCCTTGGAGACCTCTTCGCCCGCTCCCACCGTCGCACACCGATGACGTAGATCCCCAACCATGTAGAAGACCTCCCAACGCAGCGCCACCCGCAGCCCTGGAGGCTGAATTGCAGGTCAGCTCCACCCAGAATCTGAGATGACAAGGTGTAGAGCTGGATGAACACAGCAGGCCAAGCAGCATCAGAGGAGCAGGAAAGCTGACGTTTTGGGCCTAGACCCTTCTTCAGAAAATG